ATTAATATATTTGTAAAAACATTTTTTGTTGTCTTTAATGACAGCGGCCACATTGTGTTCTAGCTGGGCTTTTGCCTTTCTCATTTCTTCTCTGCACGACCTAACGAGATCCCTGTACTCTTCTTGAGTCGCCTGCCCCTTCTTCCACAAGCGGTAAACTCTCCTTTTTTTCCTGAGTCCCAAAGAAGAGAACTATGAAACATCAGCTACCCTCTAAACAGACACTGACTTTAAGTAACATTATTCTTTTGACTGTAAATCCTTTAAATTAGTATGGGCCCAGTCGTCATTTACTGCAGTTTCACAATTTTGCCATGATTTAACCAAACACCTGTATGAAATTTCTGACTAAAATCGTATTTCATAGTATGGCTAGTTAGGATTTTTTTTTTTTTTTTTGGTTTGTTGCTACCAGAGAATACTGTTCATTGGAAGCAATTTCATCTTCTGTTGGGGAGATTGCTGGGTGGGGTAATGAGTGGATACGTGTTTCCAGCTCAACGTAGGTCTCAGAGGCAGGTATAATGAAAAGGAGAAGGCAGACTCTGGAGTCGTGCCATGGTTTTGGGTGCTGCAGCAGCCACTGCTCGCTTCAAGAGATGGTCAGTATCGCTGCCTGTGCCCACTGCCCTGTGACTTTGCATCAGGCAGAGCAAGTCTTTTCACTGAAGACTGAGTGCAACCACCACAGCTGCTCAGGTGTTCACAGACGCTGCCTGGCACCATGCACCCTGACCTCCTGCAAAGAGTCATTGGGTCTGCTCTAACAGGAAAGGGTGAGAAAGTGACATGATAACATGCTCATTAGAGCCCTCTAAAAATAAGCTAAACTATCCATAGAAGAGACTAACACAGCTCTTGGGGAGCACACCAACCACTTGTTTTATGCAGAGTTAGTATAGACCAGAATATTTGAGGAGGGAAGATGAAGGGACTTTTCACTCTTTTCCACAAGCATCTCTCCCTGGTTCATGATTTGGTACAGTGTGAGAACGGAAAGTTTTTTTTTCAAAAAGAAACTATTCAGCTCCTTACATCCCAGCCTTGGTACATTTTTAAGTCTTTCACCTCATTTGCAGTAGGAACCTGAAAACAACTACAAAGGTCTATCACCCAGGTTAATTCCAGAGATATTCCAGCCCACTCCAGTGTTCCTGGCAACATGCCCACGTTTCACCAAGCAATAAACAGCATAGCAGAAATTCAGAGCTATCTCTGGGATACTGTCATAAGCCTAATATTATATATCTGTTGCTATAG